ACGTCACAGCCAAACAGGAACAGACGAGGCAAAGCTACTCTGAGGAAAAGCAGAGAGAGCAGAACGTTAGAGATTGAACTAACAGATTCTGCAGAGTGGGAGAATAGAGATAGAATGAAGCAGAATGGTGAAAAGGGGGTCCCTATGTCCTCCAGCAGTCTAAGCCTATAGCAGCATACCTATAGAGATAGCTCAGGATAACCTGAGCCACTCTAACTATAAGCTTTATCAAAGAGGAAAGTTTTAAGTCTAGCCTTAAAAGTAGACAGGGTGTCTGCCTCACGGAATAAAGCTGGTAGTTGGTTCCACAGGAGAGGAGCCTGATAACTAAAAGATCTGCCTCCCATTCTATTTTTAGAAATTCTAGGAACCACTAGTAAACCTGCAGATTGAGAGCGAAGTGCTCTGTTAGGAACATAAGGAACAATCAGATCTCTGATATCAGATGGAGCTTGGCCATTTAAGGCTTTATATGTGAGAAGGAGAATTTTAAATTCTATTCTGGATTTAACTGGAAGCCAATGAAGAGAAGCCAGGATAGGAGAGATATGATCTCTCTTTTTCATTTTCATCAGAACTCTTGGACAAGTTCAATTGACATCCTGCTGTTCTCAGTCTCCAGATTCTTGTTGCTTTTATAAATAAAACAGTTCTCCCTGTGATTCTGGATGTGGGTAAAAAAAACTAAAAACCAACATAACATAAACATTACAAAGAACCACTGTGCATGGAGCTGCTTTAGCTCAGGTTATGAACTATGAACTCCAGACTGTTACATTTTATACAGACATGAAGGAGTCAAATCTTTGTCCAAATGTATCTAATACAACCTCTCTTCAATAATACAGACAGGAAATTGTAAATGAAACCACAATGGGAAATTTTAATTACTTATGGCATTTCAGGGAAATCTGCAACAGTTTTTATTTATAAATAAATCTGGACTCCTTAGCAAGTCAATAAAAAAAACCCTCTCAGTCTTCATTTAGGAATCAGATGACGTGTCAATGTAGTTACTTCTGTGCAATCGATGCAGCGGGCTAAATGATGTGGAGTAAATTGCAGACAGAAATCACTTTGCTCTGACTTCAAATGTCTTCTCATGTACTCTGAGGATGATTTGATAAAGAAAGACAGAAAATATGCAACAGACTTAAAATAGCCTCTGCCCTCTCAGAAAATTAGCCCTGGCCGGCTTCTCTCCTGGCTGATTTGACCTTGGGGAAGTTCAGCTTCCCTGAATAAACTGAAAGCACCACAATTAGAGGATGAGGATTAGGACGTGCGGACAGCCTCCAGTTGCTCTTTGCAGGCTAGATATTTTACAATGGAATAGGAGCACAGACATATTGAGGACTTATGTTTGATTATATATACTTTTAATGCACAGAGAAAATAGGTCAGTAAAAAGCTATAATTCATCGTTTTAGTCAAATGGACATTCCACCCTGCTGCTTTAGCAAAAACTTTATACAAAGACCAAAATAAACAATCTATAAATTCCTAGTGTAGCAGTATGAAGATACCTTGTATGGATTTTCTTTTTGACAGTGAGTCAGCACTTCACTGCGTGGAGAAGCTATTCCAAAGCCCTGCTTCCATCTAGTGGTTGCAGTGAATACACGTTTACCCGGAGCTGAGGGATGATGCAACCACAGTACATCTGTAGGTTTTGCCTGAGTTACCAGAGCATACAGCACTTCATCTATTTATAAAGAGGGAAAAGGAAAATGTGCAATGGAAAAGTTATGAGGATCCATTTTGGATTTATCTTCAGCTTGGTTTAATTTAGAGGGAAATATTAATTACAGTGAGATCAGAACATAGGATTCATAATCCCAAAGTCAAAACACAGAGATCTCCTTCAAGATGACCGAATCTCTGCAATGGGGGACCTGGGGAATGGAGGATGTCCTCAGATCTATGTGATGTTCAAAAGTCTTTTGGATATGTTTAAGGCAGAAGTAGTCGACCCTGTTCCTCAGGACCTACTGCCCAACATGTTTTAGATGCGTCTTTGCTACAGCCCAAGATGGTGTCACCTTCTTTGCAGCCGTCAAGTGCAACAGAGGCCTGTAAATCAGCCATTTATCAAGGTTGGGTGTGTGGAGGCAGGTAAATGTTCAAAACATGCAGGACAGTGGGTGTTAGGTCCAGACTTAAAGAGCTCTGGTTTAGGAAAATGCAAATATAGCACACCTTTATTCTTCTCAGGTGAAAATATAGGTGATTACAATATAAAGGAAATACAGTTTATCAAATAACTTGTAAGAAAAATAACTGATGGAGTCCAATGTTGGGCTGCTCAGTTGTGAAGTGGGTAGCACTGCTGCCTTGAAGCAAGAAGGTTCCGGGTTTGATTCCTGGCCTGGAGTCTTTCTGCACAGAGTTTGCATGTTCTTCCTGTGCATGTCTGGGTTCTCTCCAGGTACTCTGGCTTCCTCCCACAGTCCAAAAATACCACTGTTAGGTTTCCTCTTATTTAGGCTTCTCTAGATTCTCCTTTGGAGTGAATGTGTCCGTGAATGGTTGTTTGTCCTGTTTGTCTCTGTGTTACCCGTCAATAGCATGGCGACCTGTCTGGGGTGGACCCCGCCCTTCACCCATATACAGGTGGCGATAGGCACCAGCACCCCTCGCGACACCAGTTGGGATAAGCATAACAGAAAAGGGATGGATGGATGGAGTCCAATGTTTACGGTGCTTTAAATGTTGCGGTAAAAGTGCAAAAATGCATTTCATTGTGATGAATTAGGTCTTAAAACACAAACTTTTACTGTTACCAGTGGATAAACAGTCTGAAAAGGGTTTGCAGGTGCTGCAGATCTTCTAATTTCATTAATGTCTTTTAACAACTCGTACATTGGTTTATGGACTAAAACCAATGTTATCATAGCAACCATATTATTATTAGTACCACTGCATAACCACAAACTGTTTTAATCGGAGGAGATACACGTATTTGCTGTGCATCTTGGCAGACTTTGCCTTTATTGTTACTGAATATCAGCTTCTTGTAAAAATCAAGCCACTGAACAGACCCCGGTGTTTCTGCTTTGATAGTACCAAAAAATATATATTTGTAATTTAAATAATAAGAGTTAATCAAAATAAGAAAAGTATCCCATGTTTTTGTTAGATTTCAAATTTATTTAGAAAAAAAATTTTTTAGAGAGTGTTTATTTTAAAATGTTACTTTTTTCATTTTTCTTTTTTTCAAAATATGTTTTTACAAACTTTATGTTTTCCTTTTTTTCAACAAATAGCCTTTTTTCAAATTGCCTTTTGCAGATACAAATGCTCCTTCTTGAGTCAAACATTGAACAGATGAATGATGTTGCCAACTTTTGTTTTTAATTCAATTCAATGAGTTTATTTATATACAGTAGCACCAATTCACAACACAAGTCATCTCAAGGCACTTTGCAGTTCACCTCAGTCGTTCCTCACTCCATCTGACTCCATCTGACAAAGAGAAATTTGAAAGAAAAAAAAAAAAGAAAAAAAAAATATATATATATATATATATTTGTAAAATCTGTTAAATAAATATTAAAGAAAACAGAATCATTAAAAAACTTTGAAAAATGACTTTAAAAAGTAAAATATAAAATCAAAAAAACATTTGAAAAACAAAATCTAAAAAAAACCCCAGCAAAGTTACTCTCAAAACATTAACAAACATTTTCATTTTTTGCAACAATAAAACTTTACTCCATAGTTTCTTACATGAAATCTACACAAATCTTTTTTATGATTTTAGGTTTAGGTTAAAAATGAACAGAGACCTCTCTCTTTCTTTATTGATATGAACATAAATATATATTATATATTGTGTGTAAACACTCTTGAATGGCAGGACTAACAGCTCCATCAGCAGTCTGTCCTCAGGCTCTCATGATTCAATACAACCCCTCCTTCCTGCTGAGCTATCGGTGCTTTCTGAGTGATGCTGGCGTCTGACCGGATCAAACAGGCTGCAGTGACGGACAGACAGAGAGCTGAACTGGCAGCCTAGGTTACGGTGCTGATCCTCCACAGACTGCCTGGGTCACAGCAGACACAGAGGTCTTAAAGCTCTGACGATGAAGGGAAGCAGTCAAAGTGGAGCGAACAGCCCAGAACCAGCAGAAACATGGCAGCTAGGCACAGTGCACCCAGAAGGGATGGACTGCACCGAACTGTTCCCATATCATTTCTATCATTCATATGAAATTATTGTCTTTCCTTCTATCATAACTTCTTTTTATGTCTGAGTCCTTCAGGTGACTCTAGTTCAAATCCAGACAGGCGGCCATGGAGGGGTTTTTCTCTGGCCGCTCCATCATACAGGCCATATTGATGGTTATCCTTCTGTCACCGCTATGGTCACCTCTGACAGTGAACATAGCGTTCTCACAGCTCAGTTTAGACGACCAACCAAGTAAGATGTAGAAAAACTTCACATCCTCTTTATTTTTTCCACCAGAACTGCTGTTCTTCACTCCATCGATCTTCCCATTGTTTCAACTTAAAAACCTCATAGCCACAGCATGATACTGCCTCCACCATGCCAGTTTATTTGCAAAACAAAAAAAATCTAAATCATTCACATTTGATGGGAGGAAATCCTCACCGTGTTTCATTGTGACAAACAGGTCCTCTGAAGATAATCCTCTCCAGGCCATTCCTTTGTTGATAAATACACCCACCTGAGCAGCGAGTAACTGCAGCTCCTCCAGACTCCTGATGTCTTGTTACTGTTTTTCTCCAGATGAATGAGCTGATGCAGCCAAGTTTGCCTCTAAGCCAAATAAAAATGCTTTGAATAATATCAGCTGAAACAAAACTCACATTATCTCTGATTGCCAGCTGTGTTCCATGGTTTTGGAGTTTTTACTAGTCTAACACATCAAATATAAATAAAACAAATGGAGTTTATGGTTAACATGTGACTGAATCAGACAAAGAGGTATGAGCAGGTTTCCAATGCATCCATAAAACAAGGATTAAGCACCAAGTGAGAGCAAAGCACTTTATTAGATACGGCATTCATTGCATTCAAACACATTGTTGTCTTTTTCCCGGAACAATCCATCCAGGTCAAACAAAATAAATCAAATCTTCTCCACTTAATTGGTGCAAAGACCTTAGAAATCATCTATGTCTATAATCTGAAAAAAAAAAAGAAAATACTTACAAATGTTACATCTCGAATGTTAAATAACACACATGCCTTTTAATGTAGGAAATGTACTATTAGAAATGTCCAGCCGTGTGGGAATAATTTACACATCTGTGACCCACAATGTCAATTTTAGAAAAGCAGAAAGAGATAAAAAGCCATTAATAAAAGAGGCTTATAAAGAACCGTGGCTTTTATATGTCCTTGAAATCCAACATTTTAATTCCCAGGAGAACAGTCGGACAGAAATCAAAGGGATACATCTGTTAAATGGACCAAATGAGCTTCTGTCACCGGAAAATATTCTACAGGTTTTTATTTTCCACGCGAAGGCATTTAAAAAAAAGCATTGAAATGATGCAGTAAAAATGAAATGAGAAAAATGACTTCTAAGGTTAGAATAAAATGACTCTGAAACTATGAGGACGTGTTCAATGCGTGCGATGTGGACAGGCAGTGCCTTCCTCTGCAGAGGACGTCCACAGAGCATCATTAAGGAACATCTCAGGTCGGATTTGAAATCAAACTGAACATGAATGTCCAGGCCACACGGACTAAATGCTGATTTTTACTAAACCGGAAAAGAAAAACACAGAATGAAATGTTTCTGAGGTACAGAACACGAACGAATCATTGACAAACACTTCATCTGATTCATAATGAGGCTCCACCTGCAGAGCAGAGGAACAATCATGGAGGGGTCCGGTCACAGACAAACACAAAGCAGAGGCATTCTGAGACAGACATCATTCATCTTCATTTCCATCCTTGATGTGCCTCTTTTCCCTCAGTTTCTATTTTTGTTTTCTTTTTTTTTTTTTTATACAGTACTGGATGTTGCTGGTGATCTGGAGGCACCCGAAGGTGAAGCCCTCCCCCACCAGCTGTGATGGGAAGGAGGGAGGGGTGGGTGATCAACACGCTATGCTTCCGAGCTGATTTTAGCTCGCTCTGCTTCTAGTTGTTTCCCTGGAACGTTCCCTGGGCTGCAGCTGAAACCGCTCCAGAAGCTGCCGTCTGGAAGCCCCGGCTGGTGACCACGCCCTGGGAGAACTCCTGCTGGGCTTTCTGGAAACTGGCCCCGGTGCGGCGGTACAAGCCGTGGACCTGAGGGGGGGGGGACGTGGAGAAAAAGAACAAGTTTACTAGAGGGATATAGTGATAAGGGCATCTGGAAGCCAAACTGTATCCATTCTGTCTCACAGAATACTGACACCTACAGGACATTTAAAGACACAACAGGCAGCTGATTGACAGACTAAACTGAATTGATTTGATGACCTATTACAATGATACCATTTAAATGATTGTAGGTTATATTGTATAATTTATATCTATGTTTAAACTGAAAATATCTTTTATATTTTTAAATGCAGCCAATAAATGTAAACATATATCATAACGTGAACATTTAGGGGGAAATGTGAATGAGGATGCTTGTGGACTAGGATTTTAAATCATATTTACATCAGCAGAATCATCACTGGAAGCTAATATATTTATGAATGTCTGAAATTTCCTGATTACAGAAGCGGACTCTAAGGAGATGAGCCGGTCTGCTCATGCACACCGAGCCCTACTGATAAACTCGTACCAGTTTACCACGGTTCGGTTGTGACTGGTACAGTCCGGTGCAGATGCCCTATCTCGCTTACTGTGCTTGGACCGAACTCAGCACGGTTTCAAAAGGGTAGAGTAAAAGGCGCTAATGTGTGAGGTTTAAACTGGGCGTTCCTTCACAATGCTGAGTAATGGGGTTTATGTGCAGCTGATGTGATACCAGGGTTCTGCACCACAGCCTGTTTATTTTTTATAGATAGTTTTTTTTTTTCTTTTTAAGTTTGTGCAAATTGAAAGTGAAATCTCAACATGTCAAAAACGTTAGGACATCCTGTGTCAGCTTTGGTTTCTCATTTCAGCTCCCATTAAAGGCTGTGATTAAACCATAAAATGAAATGAAACGATCCAAAAGAAAACAGCAAACAAACTTCTCACTTCATGATCACAAGGTGAATATTGAGCTCTTACCATCTTCAGCAGGACGACCGACATCACGGCACAAACGGTGAAGAGGCAGGCCACCACCATCATGATGGCTCCCACCGCTGGTTTGTCGTGGATAACAGAGAAGGCCGAGATCCAACCA